TATTGGTTTATAGGAAGTTAGAATAAAATGGAGAGGTTGGAGCAACATAGTAGTAACAGAACTGCCTTTAAAGCCAAGAAGACCTGGTTTCAAGTCCTGAATCTACATGTTTTATCCAGAGCTTGTCTTGCATGTACACCATATTTTTGCATGTTTGTCTCCTATTTTAGAATATAAGCTCCTTCCCGGCATGAACTATGTTTTTTGCCTGTCCTTGTATTCTCAGCAGTGTGTAAGGAGCCCTTCACAGAGTAAGTATTTAAGAATGCTTACTGGCTTACTGACTGATTGAGATTTCCAAATAATGCAACCATTCCTATTTATGTTAGGAGGGACTCTATCTAGGCTTTTCTTCTGAGGAATTTTTTCATTAAAAAGTATCTTAGAAAGGGAAAAAATGGCTGACAGCTTAATATATTAGCAAAAACTGATTTGGAATGCCCAAATATTTCAGTAATTAGGAGAAAACATATCATTGGGATAAATATCAATCACAATGTGATATTTTTCACTAGTATTGCTAAGGAAAGTGATAATTATAATTTAAAAGGATTTTTAAAAATCTTTCGTATGGTTTCTTCTGAAATTTCTTTCCAGGGAAAGTGCCTAGCAGTGACCTCCCAGGATCCTTTTCATTTGTACTTTGAGGGTGTCCATTCACTCTTCTGGTCCCTAATAAATTAGGTAATAATAGGCTTAGGATCATGTGAATTTGGAATGCAAAAGAAGTGGGTTAAAGAAAGAGTTATTTGAAAGAAGGTAGGAGGAACTGGAGCTTGCATTCAAAAGAAAACAGCTAGGCAGAAAAGAGCAGAGGGAGGCTTGTTTTATTTTTATAGCATCATTGAATTTGGTTTTATGCAGGAGAATGTATGTTCTTTTTAGGGTTCTACCTTTTCTTCAAGGGTATAGAATAATTTACACAGAACTTATTTAGTACTAAAATTGTGTTCTGATATTGGGGCTTTCATGGTTTATTAGATGGGTCAGTAGGCAAATACATGAAGACTAGAAAAAATTTCCATTGTGGTATCTCAGGATATATATTTTGTTACTTATTCTTTTCTTTGTACTTTGTCTTCTCTAAACTTCTAAAATTTCTAACATTCTTCTTCCTCCTATATGGTAGCTACTTTCTACAGTATCTAGCTTTGTTGATGTAGAAAGTTTTCTCCCTTTTCAGTTTAAAGCCCTTTTGATTTGCAACGTTCCAAGCAAATGCATTCTTTCCATCTCTGGGTTTGGTGCACTGTATCTCTGGCCAGTGGCCTTTCATTCCTCTATTTTAAGCAACAATCCCAAAATCTAAATCCTATTCTCAGAACACAGTCATTTTTTTCAGTGTTCACTTCCTGACGCTGCCTTTTCTACTGAATTGCTTGCCTTTAGCATCACCTGTACCCCTATTGTGTCTTCAGTATCATGCCAGTCAATCTTAAAATACAAAAATGTTAGACCTAGAAGGAACTTTAACAATATGTTATCTACTTTAGCTCCCTCATTTTGCGGAAGAGGAAACTGAGGACTAGACGATTAAAGAACTTTACCCAAAGGCACATAGCTCTACAATGGTGGAGGTGAGTTTGGAAGCCAGGTCTTCTAAGTTCCTGTTCAGTGGGGATTTTTTCTGCTTTATTAGGTACCCCTGCTGTTTCACTCTTCTCAATTTGGCTATGACGAGAAAGAACCTTTTCCCTGTGAGAGAATCTCCAAACTATATCCGAGAAGTCAAAAAGGGCCTCTTTCTTCTTCTTTTGTTCTTACATAGGAAGTCTAAGATATACTTATCTTCATGCATCTTCGGCTTAATATCTCTAATAAACCTTTAAAAAGTTTATTAAGATCAGGGCTGTCAGTGAGAAAGTGAAGAATCTGAAATTCTCTGATGTGCTCACCCTTTATTTCCATTGGTCTTTCTGCTTCCTCTAAACCTCAGAGTTTTGGTTCACATTATTTCACATATCCAGAAACACTCCTTCACCAATTCAGAAGACAACTGAGAGGGATGGGAGCCCTGGTTCTGATAATTCACTCTCAAAGGAGAAGGGGGGAAGGTTCTTTAAATAAGATTGTCATTAGAAAAATAAGATAAAATTGGAGGAATTCACCAATATTTGCTGAATTAGTAGAAATGCTTAAGAAGAATCATATGTAATCTGTGTAATGGCGACTGACACATGCAAAGTACCACTGTTTCAACTCATTACATGGAAGAGGCTGTTAAACCTGCTTGTAGAATGGTGATTGGGAGAGCTAGGTGGTACAGTGGAGAGTGCTCTGGCCTTGGAGTTGGGAGGACCTGAGTTCAAACCTGGCTTCAGACACTTGACACTTACTAGTTGTGTGGCCCTGGGCAAGTCACTTAACCCTGATTGCCTCACAAAAAAAAAAATAGAAGAATGGTGATAATGTATAATGGAAGGGCCTTGAAAAGAACTTGAAGCATGTGTAGAAATTCTGAAATTGATTCTAGTCTGCTCTCCACATGATTGACAGCAGCCTCTCTAATGGGCTATTTTTGCAGAAATGGAAGGCCTTAGCCTCAACATCACCTCTTTGGATGCTCTTTCTTCATATATCTCTGCTCTTAATTTGACTCCTATAGTGATGGCAGCCAGTGAGAGTCATCAATAAAATGGGAGAGACCTTGAGCCTTTTCCTCTCTGAGGTCAAAATGTGATCCAATGAAAATAGACCTCAGTTCTTTACTTTGTTTTTTCATGAAGGAGATTAATATGAAGGTTCTGATTTGGTGTGAGTTTGGAAAGTTTAAAGTAAACCTTCCAGTGCCCAGGAGCCAGTTGAGGCTAAAGATTTGCTTGTCTCCCTAAGCCAATTCAAGTATGTCTTTGACATCATCTGGGACAGAGATTTTCATCTAGCCTCTTGAAATCAATTCCTTGGAAGTGCGTATTCATTTTTAACGCCCCACCAAGCTTAGCGCTTTACAAGGTCCATAGGAGGTTTTCCATAAATACCTGAATGTAATTGCTTCCTTCTTAAAAACATTGTTGTTTTTGAGTCATTTTTCAATTGTGTCTGACTCTTCATGACCCCATTTGGATTTTCTTGGCAAAGGTACTGAAGTGGTTTGCCATTTCCTTCTTCAGTTCATTTTATACAGATGAGGAAAATGGGGTGAACAGGGCTAAGTGACTTGCCCAGCTATGAAGTGTCTGAGGTCCAATTTGAGCTCAGGGCAAGCGCTGCCCTCTTAAAAGGATATTTAACATAAAAAAGTTAAATTCATATATTTATATGTGTATCATATATCGTTATTATGTAATGTATGTATGTTTTATATACATATATATTTATCCATACATATCTGTATATGTGTATATTTGCATATATATGGAGAGAGAGACACACAGAGAGAGAGGGAGAGAGAGAAACACACACACATACACACACACAGACAAAGCTATCTCTTCAGAGTCCTTAAGACCTGGGTCAAGTCCTGCCACTTATTGGCTGTTCAATCCTAGGCAAGTCACTTAACTTCTTAATGACCCAGTTAGCTTTCTAAGACTGCAAGGTAGCTAGGTGGCACAATGGATAGAGTGCTAGGCCTGAGTCAGGAAGACCTGAGTTCACATCCAGCCTTAGACACTTGCTAGCTGGTATGTAGAGCAAGTCAATTAACTTTTGCCTCAGTTTCCTCAGCTGTAAAATATGTTAAAATAGGCATAATAATGGTAATTACCTCCCAGTGTTATTATGAGGTTCAAATGAGATAATAGTAGTGAAGTTCCTAACATATATATATATATGTGCCTGGCACATATATAAATGCTAGCTTTTATCGTCATTTTTATTGTTGTTGTTAATGATTATGTATTTTTGTTAACTGAGCCAGTGTTGATTGGAATTGGTGAGGAAGTTCATAACCCGAAATTCTCTCTGCTAAAGACATAGCAGGTTGAGCCGTGTGTGTGTGTGTGTGTGTGTGTGTGTGTGTGTGTGTGCATACACATATACAAGTGCACATATTACCTTTATCCTACTTCTCTGGTTTTAAAATATATTAGAATACAGTTACTGAAGCTGTGCAAGAGAATGAGAATGCCCTTTCTCCATACTCCTGGGTAGATAGATATCACATTTTTCATTTTCTTTGTAGTTTGAAGTGAGAGTAGAGACATCACAACTGCTTCCATGACTGAGAATGCCCAGTAGAACAAGGAAGGAAATGGCCCTGGAGTGGGTCTATACAGTGGTTCTTACTGGTGAGCAAATAGAACATGACATGATACTGGTGGACAAGGGTATTCAGTTGACTTTACCTCCTAAGGACAACCTTCTGTGAATTTATGGACATAAACTATTTAAACCACATAACTTGGATAATTAGGTTCAATGTTTCTGAGCCCAATTAAATTGATTAAAACTGAGAGAGGCAATGTGGCATGGTAGAGAGAGCATACAGTCAGTGAAATCTGGATTCAAATCCTAACTCAGACACTTAATAACTATGTGGCTGTGGGCAAGTCACTTAACCTCTGTTTCTCAATTTATTCCTCTGTAAAGTGAGAGGGTTTAAAGATGGCCTTTAAAGACCCTTTCTGTTTAAATTGTATGAAAACACAGGCTTTCCAAATAGTAAGAATTGTGGGACTAATGAAAAACTAATGTGATAGGAAAAAAAAGGCAAGATTCTCCAGTGGACTATATAATGTTCCATATAATGGAGAAGGCATTTGCAATTTTCACTAGGAATAAAAAAAAGTTAGGGTTCGAATAATCGGTCGACAAAGAGATAATACTGATGTTGACAATATAAGCTAAAGTCTAAATTTCTACATCTTTTAAATACATTTGAAAGACTGCAAATTATATTTGTGTATTTTAAAGTTTTAGCTCAGCAACAAAATCTTGAAGTTGAAAATAATTATTTTTATCACGTTGATGAAATGTAAGAAATTATAATGCTTCCACACACATATATAATGATGCAAACAATTGAAGTCACTAAGCTTCAGTGAGCTTTTTGAGGTGTTTACTGATTCAGAGTGATATTGCTTTGAGCTGAATTTCGGTAGTTCCGGGGATAACATCAGTAATCTGTCTGCATTTTCCATTATAGCTAACACTGGGGGAAAAAAGAAGGAAAAAGGCAATTAAAATTACAATTAAACCAACATTTAGAAATAACTATGAAATATAAGTTTATAAGTTTTCTAGAAGATGTCTGTTAGGAGAGGCATTAAAAAAAGTCTTCGAAGATCAATTCTTACATTCTTGCACTTTGCTTTAACTCAGAGTAATTATCAAGATAATGGAGAAGGTATTGTCATAATGGGCAGCTAGGTGGCTCAGTGGGTAGAGTGCTGGGCCTAGAGTCAGGAAGACTCATCTTTCTGATTTCAAATCTGGCCTTAGACGCTTACTATCTGTGTGACCCTGGGCAAGTGATTTATCCCTATTTGCCTCAGTTTCCTTAACTGTAAAATAATCTAGAGAAGGAAATAGCAAACCACTCCAGTATCTTTACCAAGAAAACCCCAAATGAGGTCACAAAGAGTCAGACATGATTGAAAATGACCAAATAAGAGTAACTGGCATAATGGAGAAGGTATTGGGAGGTAAGAAGACCTGGGTTCAAATCCTGCCTCAGGACACTTAATAGCTATGTGACCCAGCCTTTATTAGCCTTAGTTTCTTCCTTTGTAAAACAAAATAATTGGATTTAATGACCCCTAAGGTCTGTTCTAGGCAGCTAGATGTCGCAGTGGACAGAGTGCTGGGTATGGAGTCAGGAAGACTCTTCTGAGTTCAAATCTGGCCTCAGACACTTACTAGCTATGTGACCCTGACCAAGTCACTTAACCCTGTTTGCCTCCATTCCTCATCTGCAAAATGAGCTGGAGGAAAAAAATGGCAGACTGCTTCAGTTTCTTTGCCAAGCAAACTCCAAATTTCATCATGGAGAGTCAGACATGACTGAAATGACTTGACAAAAAACAAAACTTCTGCTGCCCTACGTCTATGATACCATGACAAGTCACTGTAATCTCCAGGGATTCCTCTGTTAAATAGACCTCCCCCTCAGCTCTAAATCTATGATCTTATGAGATCTCTTTCCCCTGATTTTGTCATGTTCTCCCTGATAAGTTGTCAACAAAAGGAAATTTGTCTGCTAGTATCATTTTTAGAACTTTTCCTAAGACATCATTCCCTTTCCCTCTTGCTGAAATCCCTGCCTTAATAATGTCTCTGAATGTATCTCTTATTTCTGTCTTTGCTTAGTCTTTTGAATGAGCATGCTGATTTGGTGAGGGACTGCTCACTGACCAGTTTGGCTGTCATGTTGGTTTTTTTCATTTTGTTTTGTTTTGTTTTGTTTTTTACTGGAGAGCTCAAGAGATACTGAGCTTGACGAGCAGAGAACAAGGAACTTAGCATACTGGATGATTTTTGAAGTGGGTTAAAATGAAAAAGGTTTTTATATAACAGCATCTAGGAATAAGAGACTAAAAGGGAGAAAAAAATCAGAGCATCCAAAAGTGGAACTTGGACTCATTTATAATTTATTTCCTGATTGATTAGTTCTAAAGCTGTAGGAACTGTTCCTGGGATTCTGAGCAAGATTTTAACAAAAACTAAACCTACGTTAGAATCAGTGCCAGAAGGGGGAGAAAAAAAGATCCCACCAAAAATACTTCCTTCCTTATTCACACAAAATGAAAATCTCTGAGTAAAAGAGAAATAAATTTGGGGTCAAGATGATTCTTATTCATTCGTTGTCCAGACCTGTGATTTCATCAGCATAAAGAACTCCCAGTACAGAACCTCCCTCCATCAATGTAGAGAAGCTACTCCTCTGTAATTTATAGTAGTGGCACTTTCTACCAATGAAGATTTGATAATAATTCTGCAATTCATAGTCTGAAAGAGCTATTTACCAGTCTTACCTTCTTTAAGGGTAACACAGGAAGAGGTTGAGTAACTTGTCCAGGGTCATACAACTATTGTGTGTCAAAGGTCAATCTTGAACCCTGGTCTTTCTGATTCAGGGACCCCCTATCCATTAAATTACATGGTCTTTCTTTCTTTTTTAATAAATCCTCATATTTATCTTTTTCAAAGCACATTCATCCCCAATATCCCTTTAACTTCAGACCCTTCACACCAAAAAAGAAACTCTTCTGCTTTGGTCAAACCCTGAAATTTGTGAGAGTGCTGAAGGACACTCTCCCCACCCCCACCCCCACTGCTACTCCCTTTCCAGTTGCGCTCAGTCAGCCAACAGCAAGACTGATCTCCCTGGGACCACAACTCTGACTTGAAGTAAGTGCTGGTGCTGAGTTAGTCAAGTTCATTCACTGGTCAGTAGTGATCGCATCGGCAACATTTTGTCTCCTACCATTGCCCTTTTAACCATCATAAAACTCACATTTCTATAGTGCACTAAGGTTTATGGAGCACTTTCCTCAAAACAACACTGAGAGGTGGGCAGCACAAGTATTATAATCTCCATTTTCCAGATTTTAACTGGTTTTTATTTCATTTTTATAGTCAGTCACACGTTGTATATGGGTTTAACTTTGCAGGCTACCTCAAATCCTTTTAGGAAGCAGGCAGAGGATAAATCCTAAATTAACCAGTGCATGTGTGTGCCAAGTAAGTGTTGGAAAGACTAATGACTTAGCATGAACCCCTTCTTGATTTCGTGCGCTGTTGATTCCAAACCTGGAGAGGGAAGTAGAGAAATACTCGTTATTACTTGTTAAATGAACCAACTCTTCTTCCCATATGTTCTTGAGGGACAGCTTTGCAAAAGCCACACACACACACACATACAAATAGAGAAGGAAATAATTGAATAGGATCATAGTAACAATGATAGTTATTATAGTATTTAAGGGAAACCTTAGTCCACTTGTGATGCTTCCTCAGATTCTTCTAATTGTTGTTATCATTGTTGTTGTACCGTTGTTCTTGAAGAGGACCATGATGTCAGGGAGGTGATGCCGTGACTTACAAGTGAATTGGATTTAAGTGAGGGAGGGCAGTGCAAAGTCACCAGCCTCACTCTCTTCTCCAGAGCCATCTGGGTCCAGTGGCAAGATATAGATCAGAAGGACTGGAGATAGCCCTGGATGCAGTGGGAGACCTTGGTCTTTTTAAGTTAAGTCTTTTAACCTTTCTTTTTATTTATTTTGCAAGGCAATCATGGTTAAGTGACTTGCCCAGGGTCACACAGTTAGTTAAGTATCAAGTGTCTGCATCTGAATTTGAACACAAGACCTCCTGAATCCAGGCCCTTACTCTATCCATTGTGCCACCTAGCTGCCCCAAGTTAAGGTCTTTAAAAAAAAAAGCCTTCTATATCTTTTTTTTTAATTTTAAAATTAATTAATTTTTTCAACATTCATTTTCATAAACTTTTGAGTTTTAAATTGTCTCTGTTTCCCTCCCCTCCCCCTCCCCAAGACAGCATGCAATCTGATATAGCCTCTACATACACATTTTTATTAAACATTTTCACAACAGTGATGTTGTAAAGAAGAATTAGAACAAATGGAAGGAACCACAAGGAAGAAGAAACAAAACAAAACAAAACAAAAGAGAGAGAGAGAGAGAGCAAATCTGATCTGCATTCAGACTCCATAGTTTTTTCTCTGGATGTGAATAGCATTTTCCATCATGAGTCTTTTGGAGTTGTCTTAGATCCTTGCATTGCTGAGAAGAGCTAAGTTTATCAAAGTCAGTTATCACACTAGGTGGCTGTTACTGTGTACAATGTTCTCCTGGTTCTGCTTCTTTCACTCAGCACCAGTTCATGTAAGTCTTTCCAGGTTTATCTGAAGTCCACCTGTTCATCATTTCTTATAGCAAAATAGTTTTCCATTACATTCACATACCACAACTTGTTTAGCCATTCCCCAATTGATCGGCATCCCTTCAGTTTCCATGCTTGGCCACCACAAAAAGAGCTGCTATAAATATTTTTGTACATGTGGGTCTTTTTCCCATTTTTTAATGATAACTTTGGGATACGGCCCTAAAAATGGTGTTGCTGGGTCAAAGGGTATGCACATTTTTATAGCCCTTTGGGCATAGTTCAAAATTGCTGTCTGGAATGGCTGGATCAGTTTGCAACTGCACCAACAATGCATTAGCGTTCTAATTTTCCCACATCTTCTCCAGCATTTATAACTTTCCTCTTTTGTCATGTTAGTCAATCTATTAGGTGTGATATAGTACCTAAGAGTTGTTGCTGATTTGCATTTCTCTAATGAATAATGATTTAAAGCATTTTTGATATGATTATAGATAACTTCAATTTCTCCATCTGAAAACTGCCTATTCATATCCTTTGACCATTTATCAATTTGGGACCTTCTATATCTTTTTACAGGATGTTTCTTTACTACTTTGATGCTATAATGTACTTCTAGCATCAAAGTAGTAAAGAAACATGCTGTAAAAAGATATAAAAGGCTTTTTTCTTTCCTTCTAAGACATTTAAAGTAACATTCCGAGTGGTTTTCTCCAGATAGCAGCTGAGAAAATCTGAGCCTTAGAAAAGTTTTGTAACAATTAACCTGCTCCTACTGCCTTGTCAACCTGAGCTTACTAGAGGACTGGAAGTAAGTAGATAAAGCTGCCTGAAAAGTGTTACATTTTTCTTTTCCAGCGGATTTTTACCACTACATTTTAAATGGAAATAAACTGTCATTGTATTCATAGGGCCTCATACAAGGATCAGATATCTTTGTATCAAGAAGAAGGGCAGCTTTGGAGTCAGGGAGACTCGGGTACAACTCCATGGCACATGTAACATGGGTGCCTACGAACAAGTCATTTCACCTCTCGTGAGTAACTTTAATTTTGTTATACTTGCTGATCTACATTGTGTCCTCTCAAGAGTCTTCCACAGCTATGAAACTGCAGGTATAGAACAATAAATAAATACATAGATAATCACATAAAAAAGTGGTAGATGGTGCGTGTAGAAACTTAATATGTTCTCACTCTGTGCCAAGTACTATTCTTGAGTCAAGGGACACAGATAGAAAAATAAGATCATCCCTGGTCTCTGGGACCTCACATTCTATTAGCAAGGCACCACATGAAGGAGGTTACAGGTACAGGGAAAACGGAAAGGCCCAGCTTTTCTTACAGTTCAAGACCAAGGGGGATGAAAGTACAGGAATTCTTAGGGTGCAATGGAAGCACAGATGGCAATGCCTGGAGGTCCAAAGGACATATTGGCAAGGCAGATGGAAAGGCTCGATGGATCTTATGAAACAGTAGGGGACGTGGTTCAGGCTCAGTGGTCTACCATATTACTATAAGGATTATAGTTGCATACTCCCTACTCATCCAAGAGTGTAAAGAGTCATGGCTCTCACCAAAAATTATTGGCAAACATAATCTTATTATTTTCATGTATACACTGACTCTGGGTTAATTAGATTTAATTTTGCAGAATGAGCCAACCCAGTTTCACTTTTCAAGAATACCATTCCTTGACTATTGGATCACAAAAACTAGTTCATTATCTTGGGAAAAGCACAAAGAATAATTAACATAAGTAGAGTTTTGGTCTTATTCTATCACTTGGCTTTATGTTTCTGGTAAAGTCATTTTTTGGACCATATTTCCTTAACAAAGTTGCATCATATGCTCCACCTAATTCATTTGGAATAATAAAGGGAAAAATAAAACAAACATATCAACACGCTTTGGAGAATTTAAATGTGTTACATTTCTTTAAAAATTGTTGTTCTTGTTACCTAGGCTATTTCTGATAGCAATTTTCTCAAATTTTTTTCTAGATAGGATGTGTGTCATCTATCAAATTATTTAAGAATTTTCACGTGTTAATGTAACCATGTTATCTTCTATGTAGAAGTTTATTTGAATCGTAAAATCAGTAGACCTGTCTTTACACTTTCTTTTTTAAAAAATTTATTTATTTTTGGTTTTCAACATTCACTTCCATTTTTGATTTTTAAATTTTCTCCTCCTTCCATTTCTTCCTCTCCCCCAAGCCAGACAGCAAACAATCTGATATAGGTTCTACATATATATTGATGTTAAGCATATTTTCTCTTTAGTCGTGATGTAAAGAACAATTAGAACTAATGGGAGGAACCACAAGAATGAAGCAATAGAACAAAACAACAAAGGAAAAGGAGAGCAAAGAGTATGCTTCCATCTGCATTCAGACTCCACATTTCTTTCTCTGGGTGTGGATAGCAATTTCCATCATGAATCTTTTGGAGTTGTCTTAGATTCTTGTGTTGCTGTGAAGAGCCAAGTCTATCAAAGTCAGTCATACCATTATGTGGCTGTTACCGTGTACCATGTTCTCCTGGCTCTGCTCATTTCATTCTGCATCAGTTCATGTAAGTCTTTCCAAGTTTTTTTGAAGCCTGCCTGCTCATCATTTAAATTTTCTTTGATGCAACTTCAATGCTATGAAAACTGAGGCACATTGTAAATATTGCTTGTGCAGATGGTGTGAGATGTAGAGAGATCAGTGGAGTCAACAGAAGTCAGACCTAATTCAGAACTGATGTGTATCCTTCAGGCATATTCTAAAGGAAACTATTTTTTTTATTAACATCTACCAAATTTGTGCAGATATTTTTGTATGATTCATTCATACACAAAAGAGGCAGTCTCTATTATTAGTGCAAAATGGAAAGAAAAGTCAGCATATCTGGTGAGGACCAAAAAAAGTATTTACTTGATAGGATCTTCTGAAGGGAGAATATTGGAGAACTGGGAATTTTGTCTCTAGCAATTTTTCAATGCATCCAGAAGTTCTCTTTGCAGATGGAGATATCGCTAAGTTTCCTTCATTACTCTTTTTCCTCAACACAATCTGATTTCAGAGACAATTTAAAATGTATCATCTCCCCAATCATATTTGACATCGAAACTGCCATCGGTATTACTTTCTATCTGTGACTTAAATTCCTCAGGAAGATTTTTGGTTAAATTGTCATCAAGGTACATGGTTGGTATTTATTTCATAGACTATCATTTCACCATATATACTGCTTTCCATAAATTATTAACTCTTTTATGTGTATATCTTCTCATCTGAAGTAGTTTATAAGCTCCTAGAAAATAGGAACCAGATTCTATGTTTGTCAAAATGTAAGCAATTACTCTTTGGATGGCTTAAAAATAGAAAGGGATGCTTGTTTGGAAATAGGGAGGAGTATGGCCAAAAGTACGTGTCATCGGTAGTTAACTGCCTATCACCCAACTAGAATAATACAATGTGGAAACTGAAAGATACAGGATGCATCATTCATAATGGGAAAACAAGAAAACAAATATTTATTAAAAGCCAACTGTTTAGGCTGACTTTGGAAAAACCTGGAAAGACCTGTATGGTCTGATGCTGAGTGAAGTGAGCAGAACCAAGAGAACATTGTACACAATAACAGCCACATTGTACAATGACTAATATTGATAACTTAACCCTTCCCAGCAATACAAGGATCTAAAACATCTTCAAAGGCCTCATGATGGAAAATGCTATCCACATCCAAAGAAAGAACTATGGAAATTGAATTGCTATTTTTTTCTCTTCTGTTGAGTTTTCTTTCCTCTTTCTGGTAGTTCCTCCTAACGGTTCTAATTTTTACTTACAACATCACTAATGTGAAAATACGTTTAATAGGAAAGTATATGTATAGCCTATATCAGATTGTGCACCACCT